AGACCACACCCAAGCTCAAATGGTGACCTGTCAGCTGTTTCATTTGCTTATGATCTTATCACTTCAAAATAATGGTGATGTATCTCTAATATTCTGTGGCTGCATTTCTCTTTGTTTCTGTAGGATCCTGCCTCCAAAGTGCTGATGCTGAAAATAGGCTACCTTTTGCAAATTCTGGCAATCCAGTTATGGCATTGGTAGGTCACTATCTTTATTTGTGCAGTTTATATGTTCACACGAAAGTCTATGAAGTATAAAAAATTCAATTTGGCTATCAATGCATTCATGCTAAAATGATCTGCTAATTTTATATATTTTCTCACATTTTTTGGGGTTTTCAGTATTAACCCTGGAGGTCTTAAATAATTAACTTTGCTGTATGCTCATTGTGGATGTTTGTTCTTTGTGTTTTCCACATTCTTTATTTATCATGTGGGTGGTTGGACAATGAAAAAAAATCAAAAGCTAGACCTCCTGAATATTTGGAAAAAATAACCTAGGAACAAGGCGGATCAGATCTCACTACCTCTTCAGTTTCAGGATATATTCAGAGGATAGCTTATAGCTTCATTCTCTTTCATCATAAAGCTCCTGTGACTATTTGACTCCTATTTTGAATGGTAAAAGATATCAGTATTTAGTAGCAAACATAAAAGCTAAAATCAAGTCTATGAACTGTTCCGGAGTGCCACCTTTTTCCAAACTGATTTTTGCATCCACTGTTCTTTTTATGCTTTTGAAATCTAAGAGCATTCTGGCTTGTAAAGTAACTAGGAATTTGCTGCAATTACTTCAAGTTGAGTCATAAATCTATCCGTAAATTATATATACAATCGAACTTATTTGGCCTTCCTCTTGCCCTCGGTTTCTTGAAAAAACTACTGTTTGATTTTACAGCAATATTTGTTACTCATCATGCTTGAGTTCTAATTCAACGCAATGGTGTATTTAGAAACCACACTTCCAGCGTCTATTTAGATGTTTGATGCGACATCCTTTCTGCTTCTGTTAGGTTCATTTATATCGAATGGCTCTTACATATGAATCCTTAATTAACAAGTATCTAACACCACCCATTTTAATGATCAATTCTTTTCTGTCCTTAATTGTCATACAAAAATCCACGTGTCCATTTGTTTCTAACCCGCTAGCCCCCTGCTTTAGCCTCAATTTATTTGGTACCAACTCTGCCAGCTTTGACTTTTCTTTCCCATCTAATAAAAGAGAAGATGCAGGAGATATGAGGTATTGGCAGTGTTGTGCAGTATATCCAGTGGCATTTCCTTATGTTTCGTGGTGTTTGGGTTTGTTAAAAGTGAAATCTTGGAGTTTGGGGTTACAAAACTAGGGTCCACAATTTGTTGGTTGAATTGGGGTTGGATTGGTTGGATTGATCGATTGATGTTTGTGAGCAAAATGTTTAATCTGCTTGAATTAATTGGACCAAGTTGCAGGTTTTTCTGGCAGCAATTACTTTTAAAGGGTTGAACAAATTAGTTTGGTGGTTAAAGGGTTGAACAAATTAATTTGGTGGAAAGAAGAGCGGAGAATGGAGGTATATTTAGGAATATAGGTTTATTGTTGGTAAATTATGCTTGAAGTTATCTGTGAATGGTGGAATTACACAGCAGAAATGAACATCTTTCAAAAGTTTTCTTGCTTGGATATTTTGTGGATCCATCTAACCAATGGAAAATTTTGTAGGTTGCTTTTCTGGCCTCTGCTGTTGGACCAAGAGTTGCTGCAGCCTGTGCTCATGCATCTTTGGCAGCATTGTCTGAGGATAACAGGTAGGTGTATGTTCATCTTAGAATACTTTGAAGGTTTACGGGGTGTGTGTATACATGTGATTTCTTGGGAATTTGTCAATTTGATTCACAGAGGATAAATCTCTTTCTGCTGTTCTTCTCCTTCTAGTATTAGCAACTTTTGAGTAGCTATGCTTTGAACCTAATAAAAGTTCTTTGGTATCGTCAGCATGGCTTCTGTTCCCCTGGTGAAAATAATATGCAGTGGAGGGTTTTCTTTTTTCTTTTTAGCTTATACATAAATTATGCTTGCATGTTTTCTATCCTTGTTGAATTCAATTAATTTCCCCCCCTTATGAAGGATGGATTCAGAGAGATTACATGGTCGAGAAGGTGGTTTTCATGGAGAAGTTGCAAATTCAATTCAACAAAAAGGTGGCCATAAGTTGCTTTCAGTGTTTTAATTATATTTCTCTTCCTCGCTCTGTTTTCCCTCTCCTTCATCTAACATTAGCAAAATCTCTCCATGGATCTTTCTTCAGAAGATGGCCAGCATGGTTCATGGGGTCAAAATGGGGCTGAGGTTGCTCCTTTGTCTTCTGAAAAAGTTGAAGCAGCTGCCAAAGCTGGCCTAGCTGCTGCAGCAACAAAGGCTAAACTGTTTGCTGATCATGAAGAGCGGGAAATTCAGAGACTATCTGCCAATATCATTAATCATCAGGTAGAGCCGCTGCCAATGTTACTTTCTTCTTGACTTTCATTTTCCTATTTACTTGTTTCTAAGTGTGCGTTTGGGAACACGGTTGAAAATGCATTTCCTGTTTCCCAAAAATTTGATTTTTTTTCTATGTTTTTTGACCGTTTTGATGTGTAGATGTTAAAAATAATTTTTAAAACATAAAAAAAATTATTTTAATGTATTTTCAAGTGAAAAACACTTTGAAAAACAACCGCTACCACACTCACAAACATCCCTATATATGTATATTTATACCTTTGCTAGTGTTTTCAAGTGCAAGAGGGCACTAATGAACCTTCTGGGGACATCCTTAAACATGCTGTTCTTTTGGTGGTTGGACATATTTTCTCAAGCCACCTAATTACGCTTTTATCACTTGTATTTAACTAGCATATTTATATTGAAACTGAAATTTGTTAGGCTTCACCATATGTAATAATTTGTGATTAAAAATTAAGAAGTTTTTGAAATGGTTACAGTTGAAGAGACTGGAGCTTAAGCTGAAGCAGTTTGCTGAAGTGGAAACATTTCTAATGAGAGAGTGCGAGCAAGTGGAGAAGACAAGGCAACGGTTTGCTGCTGAGCGGGTCCGCATGCTATCTACCCGGATAGGACCTGCAGGAGTCACTTCACAAGTGAACCCAGCTGGTGTTGCTCCTTCGATGGTTAACAATAATGTGGGCAACAATAGGCAGCAGGTGATGCCTTCCTCCTCTTCACAACCAAGCATTTCAGGATATGGCAACAGTAATCCAACCCATCCGCACAACAATCAACAAGTCCATCCTCACGTGTCATATTTGCAACGGGGACATCCTCAGCCAATGTTTCCATTAGGGCCGAGGCTGCCCATGGCAGCTATACAGCCATCCTCGTCAGCTCCATCGAATGTCATGTACAATGGCCCTGGAAATTCACAGCCTAACCTCAATCAAATGCCGAGATCTGTGTCGGGCCCTAGTTCTGGCTTAGGTTGAAACGGAGAAAGTGATGTGGAGTTTTATGGTTAGTTCCACTGGTTACTTGCTCACAATCTGTGCTGCAGCTGGGGTCAAAGATGAAAAAGGATGGAGCCAAGAACGTTTCATCTGTCTTGCGCTGTAGTTTTGATCTGAATATAAATTATTCTGTGCAGTTTGTAGGCTTGTAACAGATTAAGTTGATGTAGCCTTTGTATCGAATTATGAGCGTTGTCCATTAACTTAGGAAAAATTATTTTCAGAGCAAATAATCTTTAATATAAAATGTGTCGTGAAAATGGCATCAGACGACTATATTATATGGTTCTTTTCTTTTGCAGATTAGTAATTAAATCCTTCTCTATTTTCTCTTTGGCCAATTTGTTACTTCTTCCAGAGGTGAGCTAATGATTCCTTATGCAATTCCTGCGTCTCCCTCGCCATTATTTCTTTTCTTCGCATTAATTATTAATTAATAAAACCTGAAAGAGGTGTTGCTTCTTACTTGGCACATTTGGTTTATTTAAGATCAGGTTTAATGATTTGTGTTTTTAAGGTTAGATTTAATTATTTGTTTTTTATGCAGTTGTTTGAGTGATATAGGTTTAGTGGGTTAAGTAAGTTGATTTAAATGTTTTTTTTTTTTTTTTATTAATTTTATTTGTTAATATTGAATTATTAAAAATTAAATTTCATGATTTGTTTATGTTTGTTTTCTATAAGGATATTCTGGTCTTATGACATGGGTTATATATTTTACGAGTTAATCTGGATGAACTTGAGTTGTTTTATTGTGTTTTTTTTTAGTTTTTTTCTCCAATTGTATCTTTCAACAATGAGTCAATTAAAAATTAAACTTCATAATTTGTTTTGATTTGTATTTTATGGGTTATCCTAGTCTCTAACTCTAGTAATATATTTGATAAATTAACCCAAGTTGAATTAGATTATTTTTTTAGTTTATTTTTTTTGAGATTGTCTCGATCTTATAATTTGAGTTATAAATTTGGTGAGTTAACCTGAGTTGACTTGGGTTGTTTTATTCGTGTCTTTTTTTTAATTTTATTTTTCAATATTATTTTAATTAAAAATTAGGCTATGTACTTTGTTTTATTTACCTTTTATAGAATTATCATATTCTCATGAATCAGGTTGTAGATTTATCATGTTAACTTAAGTTATTTTTGTGTTTTTTTTTTATCAATTTCATTATTCAATATTGAGTTTATTAAAAATTAAAATTCATAATTTATTTTGAATTGTTTTTATATTGTGCTATTATGATCTCATAGTCTGAGTTATAAATTTGACAAATTAATTCAGATCACTTTAATATGTCGTTTTAATATGTTGTTGGCTCAATATTTTAAAAAATATCATCTTGAATTTTTTAAATTAAATTATATTTTTACTTAAATATTTTTTTTAGATTAAAAAAAATTCAATCTCATTCAATTCACAGACGAGAAATAAACTCCATTCCATATATCGATTCCATGTGCCTGTGACCATAAATAAAAGGAAAGGAAACTGAAAGGAAAAAATAACAAAGCGTGAGGGTAGCGAGTACTTTAACTACATAGGTATAAAACGTGGATTGACAACCTGAAGTCCTGAACATCTCATGGAAATTATACAGTAATTTCCTTTTTCTGTAAAGGAGTCTTGCAGTGGTGGTCTTTGGAAAAGTAAAGCGATAAGTGAGCTGGAAAGGCTAGTGGCGTGAGTGATAAAAGCCTGCCTACAAGGCATGATATACGTGGATATGGAACAGGGAACCCAGTAACCCTTAGCTGCTCTAATAACCAAGCTCAATCTCATAATTCACTGATGAAAATGATGATGGCTACCGGTGCACTTGATTTGTCCCTCTACTATGGCAGTGGGACATCAGCTAAATCCTCTCTGTAAGGTACCCGACCCAATGCCATTTCCTGGTTAGATTTTCCTTGCCCATTTTCCTTGTTAGCCTCAAGATTTGGATCATTCTTCACTGGGTCAATGTATGTCACAGCAGTGTCTTTTCTAAAGGTTAGGTAGATGATAGCAAGAATATATATTGCCATCAAAGGAAAGACTATGATCCCGATAATCACATTTCCAACTTTGGGCAGATTGTTATGAGTCAGCCAGCCCACGAATTCTGTGCTCAGATAATACACATTGATTCCAATGATCATCAATCCCAGAGTCCACGAGATGACAATTATCTGCAGAAATGTAAATGAGCGGTGTATCAGGCGCTGCGGTAGCAAATTCCACTACAAATGACCACACGAGGAGACATTTCGACATGATTTCAATTGAAGGAAATCAGAAGAGCTTATATAAAAAATGATAAAAAAAAAACTTTAAAAATACAGCTTACATAAATTGAGTTCTTGTGCGGTCCCATCTTGGGGTTACTGCTGCTGAATTTAAGAAGTGGGATAAGTGCAAATGGGAGCTCAAATGACAATATCATCTGAACAAGTAAAAAAAATAAATTATAGATAATAGTAACAATTTGTTTGACTATGAAATTAACATGACTTGTGGAAACATAATTTTCATTTTCTCTACCGATGCAATGATGATTAATCGGCTTGCCCCGGATGATCCACCTATAATTGAGACAAAGAGACTGGGTAAAATGGCAATGCATCTAGTCATTAGGTTCCTAAGCCATTTTCTCATCTTCAAATCCAAGAAACCCTGAGAGATTTAGATACCGAAAAAATAAACCTGCAAGTTTTGAAATATTCACAAGTATGAATCATACACTAAGATGGTAATATTATGAACCTGCATGATGTATTGTCCAGCGTAAGTGCCTGTTATTGTAGAGCTTTGTCCCGAGGCTAATAACGCAATGGCATAAATGGTCGAACTTGACTTTCCCAGCACATTCTGCAATTGTTGATCCCTCAGATCTTACGATTAATATTAATTCCGTGTGCGTACGTAGATATACTTAACTATAACCATCTGTACCTTGAGTAAGAAAGAAGCACCCTTGAGGGTGAGATCACCGCACTGATCAGCATTTTCAGGCGAGAGATTCTTGGCCAAGCAAACAGTACCCGATACAGAGACAATCGATACATTGATTAAAAATGCTACAAATAGTGCAAATCCGCTTTCTATCAGGAAATATCGACATGCATCCTGTACATAGAAAAAACAAAATAGAATAACGAGCATCACATTTTATTACACTTCACCAAACATATCATCATGAGTTAAAACATAAAATTTAATCATCTGTTTTTAGTGCCGGCTCACATTGATGCCACGAACGGAATTGGGCACTTTCCTAGAAAGCACAAGAGCAGAATGAAGAAAGAGGTTGTGCCTATTGAGGGAAAAAAATGGATGTTAGTGATGTAACTATCAAGATTAGGCACTTGAACAATTGCAGAATGGCAGCACAGCCCCGTGATTATAATAAAACTTCTATTTATAGAAGGTGGAATCGCACGGCATGACAAGGGCACCGAGTAGAGCAATGGCATCGCCAGTGGCTCCTTGGCCTGACAGTTTAGGGATAAACATGCCTTTAAGCACACCAGATGCTGGAGGCTTTACATAACTAAGTTCACCAAAGAAACATGCTGCCATTGTAAACACCAGCACTGATATCAGCAGCTCCAGTTTCCTGATCTGGCCAGTAGACAAAACCCATGAAAGAGTTGAGATTTAAGAAAACATGGCGTGGTAATCTGGACGTAGGAATAACTAACAAGTTTCTTTATTGAAATGAATAAAAAAAGATTTCGGGGCGGCTTCTAGTTTAATATTCAGGATTGAGAAACGACAACAGCGTACAAAATGTCGACACTATTTTTATGTTTTTTGTTCTTTTGATCATACTGAAGGCCGACACTAGTGGACTTTGTGTAGCGTAGCAGGTACGGTATTATTGACTGGAAATGAAAATTGATTTTTAAGAAAAACATGTTTTCCAACTCTCTATTTTTTTATAGAATAAAAAAACATTAAAAGTTATTTTATGAAAGTAAACACTCTTTTCTAATTATTTTGAAACGGTCGACGCAATGAAAAATAAAAAATAAAATTGGCATCATAGAACAATTCACACCCGTGTATCAACAAGATTCATAACGATTGAATGGATTAAGCAATTTTATTCATGAGAGAACGTCAGTTGAGAAATAGCTGGTGACGATGACTATCAGTTTAAGAAACGAGGCACTGGTCCTCGTCTCTTTCGACAAGGAAAATCAGAGGTCATATTTATTGCTGCAATCACATTCATAAACAATTCCTCTTACTTAAGATTATCCCACTTATTTGTCAAATTTACACCATCATGTAAAAGCTGGTGAATCATGGCATCAACAGTAATGGAAATACTCTCTGAAATTAAGAAAGTCAAGAAGCATGGATTTTACATATTCAAGTAGTTTTTTTAGAAGAAAATATACGAGAGAGATTTATTTATTTATTTTTTCATTCAGTGAATAATTTCTAGAATAATTACCCCATATTTTTGGAGACCAAGAAGCAGGAGAGTGCTAAGACCAGTCATGAGAACTCCTGCCCATATGGGGATGTGGAATAGTATGTTTAACGCAAAGGCTGTTCCAATGACTGTCCGAACATATATACATTCGGGGAAAAAAAAAAAGGTTAGTTAGTGCGCTGTATAAATTGTGATAACCTGTTAGAAATTTAAACTTCTACCCTGGAAATCTTTAATGGTAGTCGAATTTATACATGCCTTCAGGTATATCAGCAGCTATGACAGCTACCTCTGCTAGCAACCACAGGCTCCATCTCACGTACTTTGGATATTCAGCCTTGCACAACTCAGCTAGGTGTCTGCCTGAAAACCCAACGCCGCAGCACAAAAATAAATGCTAGTACTGGTAGTAAATTATAGAATCTAATGCATCATTAGTTTAACTATATGAAATTTTGCTTAGAAACAAACTATAGCTGGTTGCTTTCACTTCAGTAATTAATTAAATTACGTACCGGTGCTCACACCAAGATTTGCAGCAAGGGATTGGATTATGAGAGCGAAGATCAAACCAATAAGGATCACCCATAACAGCTGAAAATATATATCAGATATGATCACCTTTTATTAGTCCACATTTTTGTGTGCTAATTCTCTCAACCAATGAAGCGTTCCCTCTTATTCTTTTCTTTTTACCTCGTATCCATGGTTGGCTCCTGCTTGCAAATCTGTTTCCACTGCAAGTAGTTCGCATGAGACCGTTAGTATATTAACGAGACGCACAAAGCTCTGCAGAGGAGGAATTGAAGACGGGGGGGTAGGGGCTTACAGTTTCCAGGATCAAGATAAGCTAATGAAACAAGAAAACCGGGTCCGACGTAGGGTAGGAACTTTCTCCATCCGGGTTTCTATATATAATATTCGTCAAAACAGTAGATTAAAAGAAACACAGTGATTTTCCTTCCAAGTTTACCAAAATATATGAAAGTAAGTGGAAAAGAAGCCCGAAAATGAGAGAATGATACTGACCTGTTGGTCATAATCATCAATGCAAGGTGGGGACTGGCCAACCAAGTTAAGAGCTGCTATACGATTGCTGTTTCCCCGTGATTCTGGAGCAATCTCACACGCTTGCAGTTCCTGCTGTGAGCTTGCCATCTCTCCTTTTCACTTTCTTACCTCTCAGAGAGAAGGGTTTTTTTTTGGGTTTGGATATATGATCATAAAATCAATTCTCTTACACCAGCCAGTGTCTTCACAATTTAACTTAAATCTTCAATGAACTGCTCTCTTATTTATAGTGCAGATCAAGGGGTGGAACCGATTTGACATTTTTTTATGAAGGTAACTTGTTAAAATACCGAGTTTCTACCAAAATGAATAGCAACCCTTGTTTGGAACTCCAAACCAATAAGATGCTGGCACCGCATGCCATTTTGTCACAAGTCAGACCCCAAGTTAAACCAAAGGGACATGTTCAAATTGTGGGAAGTATTCTTATGTAAATCCGAAAGCATCTTCTTTATTTAAGAAAGACAACCTTTTTTTCATTTTTTTCCAGGAAAGGAAAAGAGGGACGTGACTGCCTTCTAACCTCTTTAAAAATAAATATTTTTTAGTTATTTTTCTTTAATTTATAAACTTTATTTTTTGTTTATTTAGAAACCCTAATGCTAGTGGGATGCTATATTAATTTTATGATTATTTATTAAGATATATTTTTTAAAAAATTAAATATTATGTCAAGATGAATATAAATATGGTTATTTAGTTTATTTTTTAACGACCTTTTTTATTTTAATAAATTAAGATAGAGATTGTTTTTTTTTTCTCTCTCATACATATATAGATTTTTTTTCTCAAGCTCTTTTTCATTCAATTCATTTCCGATTTTTCTTTCAATCCTATTGATTGTTGCGTTGCATGGATTGGCACTAATGCATGAGCTTTTTTTTTTTTTTTTTCCTATCTAGTTTAAGAATCCTAATATTTGATAAATTCTATAAATTTTTTTTAGGATTTTTTTTTCTTTTTGAAAAATAGAGTTTAGGCCTGTAACTAGTGTTTATTTTTTAGCAAGGCTTTGGTATTTAGATAAATTAATAAAGAGATTGTTCTCTTTCTTTGTTTCTTTTAATTTTTTTTGAAAAATTATGTACAAAGTCTAAGATTTTTCTCAATTCATTTCTTTTCAACTCTTTCATGCCTTCCGAAACTAGATTAATTAGGATTGAAAGGAAAAACAGGAAAGGGTTTACTGAAAAAGAGCCGGGAGAAATTAATGGAAAACAGGAAGAACATTTTCTGGGAAAATTGCAAGGAATTCTGTGTATTTTAAATGAGATTATGCAGGTTGAAACAGGAAAGGGTTTACTGAAAAAGAACCCGGAGAAATTAATGGAAAACAGGAAGAACATTTTCTGGGAAAATTGCAAGGAATTCTGTGTATTTTAAATGAGATTATGCAGGTTGAAACAGGAAAGGGTTTACTGAAAAAGAACCCGGAGAAATTAATGGAAAACAGGAAGAACATTTTCTGGGAAAATTGCAAGGAATTCTGTATATTTTAAATGAGATTATGCAGGTTGAAACAGGAAAGGGTTTACTGAAAAAGAACCCGGAGAAATTAATGGAAAACAGGAAGAACATTTTCTGGGAAAATTGCAAGGAATTCTGTATATTTTAAATGAGATTATGCAGGCTGAATTACACTTTTTTAAATCTTAACAGAATGTCCTCTGCAACTGAACACGAACATGGTCTCTATCAAGTTTTAGCTAAACGTTTGCAATCTGAGATAAGTTTTTATAAAATTTAGAGATTCCAAGGGAGTCCCTTATAATAATGCAATGACGCCTCCAGAGAATCCATAGACGAGCTATCTCACTTGAACTGTTAGATATGGGAGAAGATCTTATTCTGAGGTCAAATCAAGGAAACCTCAATATTGTACGGAGATAAAAGAAAACTAAAACTTACACTTCCATATCTGATCGCGACCCGAAACTACTTGACTGTTCAAGGCAATGATAATGGCCTCGATCCATTTTTACCGAAATAAAATTCAACATTACAACTTCAAGAGCATTCCATAAAGTTTACAGGTGAGGAGCCCTGCTATTTTTGGACCCAAAAAGGGGTGCGATGAAGTATTAGTAAGACTTGTAACTTCAACTAAACAAGAAGGCTTCATATAACACATCATTTTTAACCCCGATTTTACGAGTTGTGCTTGTCATGCATTAACGAAGGAACCTGGATTTCTAGCTCTGAACACCCCCTATTCTGGCAGAGGGATATCAGCTAAATCCTCTCTATATGGCGCACGATCCACCATCTCCGGGCCCTCGGTAGATTTAGCTAGTCCGTTCTCCATGTTAGTTTTGTTCTGGGGGTCATTCTTATTTGGCTCCATAAAAGTCACCACAGTGTCCTTTCTGAAGGTTAAATAGATTACTGTAAGGATATAGACTGCCATTAGAGGAAATACTATTATTCCAATGAAAACGTTCGCTACTTTAGGTAGATTGCTGTCAATTAGCCAGCCCACAAAGCCTGTGCTTAGATAATAAATGTTGATGCCAATAATTCCCAGACCCAAAATCCATGATAACGCTATAATCTGCGTTCACAACAAGGTAAATGATTAGTATATAAATATTAAGAAGTTGTTGAATCTTAATTTATGTAAAAAAGAAATTTAATTTATTTAGCAGGTCGGTTTAAACTGTAGTTCTAGGTAATTAAGAAGTTACAATAAATTAAATAAAGTACAACTTGCACTAAAAAAGGAAAAGAAAATAACTTACATAGATTGAGTTCTTGTGTGGCCCCATCTTGGTGGTGCTGCTACTGAATTTAAGAAGTGGGATAAGAGCGAAAGGCAGTTCAAAAGAAAGAATCATCTGCAGAGCCAAATGAAATATTGTGACAATTAATTACACTTGAAAATGGATATAAATAAATACAAAACTAGATTAGTTTGACGTAATCAGTTTTTCTAACCGATGCAATGATGATTAGTCGACCCGCGCCTGACGATCCATCGATAATGGAGACAATAAGACTAGGTGTAATGGCAATGCATCTAGTCACTAGGTTCCTAATCCATTTTCTCATCCTAAGTTCCAAGAAACCCTGAAAATTACACCAGCGGAAAGTAATTTATTTACCATCTAAAGAAATTCTGAATAGTCAAACTCAAATGCTTGGGTTTTAGTTATTTATTTATTTATTTTGTCGACAGAGACCTCCATGATGTATTGTCCTGCGTAAGTGCCTGTGATAGTGGAGCTCTGCCCTGAAGCTAATACAGCAATCGCATAAATTTTTGAGCTTGATTTTCCCAGCACATTCTGTGAAACCAAACCAGAATCAAAATAAGAGTTATTTGTAAGAACTTAACACTTGAACATGAGTATCGGTAACCATTATTTTTATGCGATTTTAACCTGAAGAAGGAAGGAAGCAGAGTTAAGGGTGAGATCTCCACATCGATCTGCATTTTCAGATGATAGATTTTGAGCTGAGCAAACAGTCCCAGATACGGAGATGACTGCGAGATTGATTAAAAATGCTACAAACAGCGCGAGCCCACTCTCTATCAGGAAATAGCGACAAGCATCCTGTAAATGACGGAGCAAAATATTTAGTCGAAATGTATAATAAAAATAGTAAGGGTAAACTGAACGAAATTAAAAATGTGATATTTGAATTTACTAATTATATGTTCACAGGTCGATCTCAGGTGAACAAACCTGAGCCGCCCTTAACAGATATCTCTGCAAGATAATACTGTTTCGCTGTTTGGCTTACGTTAATGCCACGGACAGAGTTTGGTGTTTTCCTAGACAGAACAAGGGCAGAGTGGAGAAAGAGATTGTGCCTGTTAGAGAAAACAGACAAGCGAGTGATTTAGCATTAAAATAGAGCCATTAGTTGAAAAACTTGGACTTTATATTTTAATAATGCAGTCATATTTGAGGATCGAATTTACGGCATGACAAGGGCACCGAGTAGGGCAATGGCATCGCCAGTGGATCCTTGGCCTGACAGCTTGGGGATAAACATGCCCTTAAGCACATCAGTTGCAGGAGGCTTTACATGTCTCATTTCTCCAAAGAAACACGCTGCCATAACAAACACGAGCAGTGCTATTAACAGCTCTAGCTTCCTCACCTGGACAAAAAGTAATTTTTTCTTGAGAAAGAAAATCTCAGAAGAGAGTAGAAATGCAATTTGATTTTCTTCTTCAAGACCTGTAAGAACTTTTCATCTATTGATTAATCTTTTGGAGCCAATGATAACAAGAAGCTTTGCAGATAAACTTGTTTTACCTGTAGTTGTGTTGTAATAATAAACTATAAACCATTTTTGTTTTGGATAGAAAAGAACAAAGCTTGAGCTGGAATAGTTGACTGGCAAAATAATAATTAAAGCACTAAAAATAGGAAAGGCACCCGTATAACCATTAACATTTTTTACTTTACATTCGTGTATTGAAACCACAAATGCATATACGGCCAAGAACTTATGAAGACTCAAGACTTGACATGCCAAGAAAAAAGGCTAGAAATAAAACCACCACTATAGTTTGTATATATTTGTTATTAATGATATGACTTACACCATATTTCTGCAGGCCGAGGAGTAGCAGAGTGCTACAACCAGTGCATAGAACTCCAGACCATACTGGGATATTAAACAATATGTTTAGGGCAAAAGCTGTCCCAATCACTGTAAAGAAAATAAGAAATTCTACGTTAGAAATCTATTAGCTTTTCTCTAATTACTGATCAGTTGCAATTCAACTTGTTTGTTTTAACAGTCTAAAAGTGGAGAATAAAACCAAAACTGATATGCATATGTGTCTCAAAATATGATTCAACAACATCTAATGACATATATTAGTATCCAAGATTAATTTAAAATGATAGAGTTAGAAAATTATGCCTTCGGGGATATCGGCAGCCATGACAGCTATCTCTGCTAGCAACCACAGGCAATACTTGACATGTCGTGGGTACTCAGCTCTGCATAGCTCCGACAGGTGCTTTCCTAAAATTCCCACGCCGGATTAATTTGATAATCATCACTAGTTGAAAGAATGATAAATCCTTAATTAAGCTATTTAAGAGTACAGTGGAATTAATACCAAGTTAGAACACGTACGGTTAGGGATATAACATGTTCTTTCTCTCCTAATTTCTTTGAGATAATCAAATGTTTTAATGTCTTACCGGTGCTGACACCAAGGTTTGCAGCTAGTGATTGGATTGTAAGAGCAAAGATCAATCCAGCAAGCACTACCCATAGCAGCTGAAGATAGCAAATGATACCATCACCACTGGCCGGTTAGTGAATTTATCCATGCATGCATGCTGATTTTCTCATTGCCAAAGAAAATTATGCTACGTTTTCTTCTTCTTACTTTTTTCTTTTTTTATGTTTGTCTCTCTTAATTACCTCATATCTGTGACTAGCTCCTGCTTGCAGATCAGTCTCCACTGTTTACATGCCACCATAAAACTACGTATAAATAATGCAGCCCCAAATACAGTACATAACCGATGACACAGAATATGAGTAGAGGTGCACTTACAATTTCCAGGGTCAAGATAAGCCAATGAAACGAGGAAACCAGGTCCTACATATGATAGAAACTTCCTCCATCCAGATTTCTAGTCATTAAAAAAGATTTAGATATATTGTTAATAAAATAAGCTTAACAAATTTAATTAGAAATCAGTTTAAACATCTTTTTTCTAAACACAAATATGACCTGGTGACTTGGGTCTTTAAGTTCATTATCAATACAAGGTCGAGGATGCCCCTCCACATCAAAAGCTGCTGTTTGTTTGCTTGAACCATCCCATGATGCTGGCAAAGTATCATTTTGCTGCTGAATGCCTGCCATCTCTCTCTCTATGTAGTCTCGGTGTTTGTGTATTTGTAGGACTTGCATGCTAACTAGTGAAGTTGTAGTGGTCTATTTATAGTGCAAAGGAGCATGCCGCTTGTCTGGTTTGAAGGAACTTTTTCAGCAGCCATTCGACTCATCCCACAGTGTCTTCTCTCTAAAGTTATGTTGGCGCATATACGTAGAAAAAAAAACCTTCAATTATTAGTTGATGCTCAAATATGAAGTATTTTATTGTGTTTTCAGGTTTGAGATGCATTCCATTTTTTTTTCTCATCGTTTCATGCATGGATTATTATAACCTCATTTTTTAAAAATTGATCATGAATTATGTAAATTAAAATGGATATATTTTGAGTCTTATTTTTGGATGCGGAGACAATAAATAATAAGAATTAAAATAAGAAAAGAAAGAAGTTTTTAGAGGTGAAGTTGAAAAGTGAAAGTAAGGAAAGAAAAGAATAGGAATTGAAGATATGTAAAATTTATAATTTTTTTATTAATCATTAAAACTGCTTAACATTTAGAAAAGTAAGGTATAAATACTAAAACCTTAACTGGAACAAGCAATTGGGTTTATGACCTACTAAATAAAATACTCAATAATAATTAAATCAAACCCAACAAATAAAACTAAATTAGTAAACATCAAATAAAAGCTCATATAAATTAAACCTAAAAACATAAGTTAAAGCTCAATCTCTCAATTATTTGGGTCATCCTTCATCGTCTATGATCATACGTGTGCATAAATAATATTTCAGGTTTGGTGTTCCCACCAATTCTCCTAGGGTTGGAAGAACTCAACCTCGTTAAGTATAGGTCAAGGCAACTCCGATAATGCTCTCAAAGATATGGATCAAGCTGTTGTGATGTCTCTTTGATAATCTAAATATAGTTTGAATCTAGTTGTTGAGCCCATATACTAGGATTTGTTGAAGTTCACCAGCCCTAATAAAAATAACTTTTGCATTCAAAGTAGCATTAATATGTTTCTTTTTTACCAAAGATATGGATGATGAGGTAGGGGTATCAGAAAAAACATCAGGGATAGGTTGTATTTTATAAATACTAAGGTCTTTCATGTTAAAAGTAGAGCTAATATCAAAGTTTAATGGCAATTTAATGATATAATTATTTGATTTAATCATTTGCAACATTTTAAATGTTTTAGCACTACTTACTTGCAATCTATGATAGGTTTTCAAAGTACACCGTTTAGGTTTAATCTTTATTATGAAATAATCTCCAACATTAAGTGCATCATGATACTTAAACAAATCATCTTGAAATTTGTATTGTCTATTACTTGCTTGAATTTGTTTCATGATTTCAATATGCAAATTATGAACTCTACATGGTAACGACTCAACTAACTTAGACATCCTATCGTGAGGAGATATAGGAAGGTGTTCTATAGGCTTCTCAGGTTTGTAACTATAAACATTAAATGATTAAGGGTGTGGAATGAGACAAACATTGTTTAAAACATGTGTAGATATAGTATGGATGCAATCAAGTAAACTAGAATTATCTTCATCTTCCTTATCACGTGCATAAGGTAAGGGGTCAAGAAGTTCAACATGTTGATCTAAACTTACGACGTGTTGGACACCAAGCATGTGGGGTGAGTAATCAGGTAATTTAGAAGGACTAATATCATGAGATTCTTTTAATACCATACTTATCTCTATAGGGGATTCCACTGAAAGGTTCCCTAAAACTTCCTCTACCATTAAAGTAGATATATCAGACTTTTTCTTAACCTCATTCTCAAGCTCATATGGACTCATTGTGTTAGATCCTCTTCTTGTACATCCTCATCATCTAGGTCACTAAAATCCTCAATATTAGACTCATAAATTTCAACACTATAATATTCCTCTTTACTTTATCATTATATTTTTAGATGACTAAGGATTTAGAGATGCAATCTAAAGAGATATGACCAAAACCTAAACAATTAATATACTTAACCTTTGAACTCACCTCAAACACTTCATTAACAACTCGTTTACCCTTATCTTTCTTACAAAGTTGGGCACTACTAGGATTGGGTTTGTGGGGTGAAGCACCTAACAAAGAATCACTACTTCTGAATTGAGACCTAGTAGGGATATTATAAGAGCATTGACGATTCATCCACTGATTCTTCATGACCAACTTGTAGTCTTGAACTAAGGTATAAGCTTAGTTAAGGGTAGATACACCTTGAAATACAACTTCTCCTCTAAGATCATCATTTAAGCCTTTACAAAATCTATGCAAAGTCATGGCTTTATTCTTTCTTATGGCGCATCTAATCATGTAATCGTTATACTACGTTATATACTCATTGATAGACTTATTACATTATCTTAAATTGTTCCATTAGTCTGAGAGTTTATTCCTATAAGACTAGGGTAAGTACTTCTCCTGAAGTTTTTGTTTTATTTTGATCCAATCAGTTATAGGAGGTTTACCTCTCATCTCTAAACAATCCTTAACATCTCTCCAATAAATTTTGGCTTCACCAATGAGTATCATCTTAGAAAATCTAACTTTTCTATTATTAGACAAGTTATGCCACTTAAAGAATCAATCCATATCACAACTCCACATATCAAATATCAAAGGGTTATGACGACCGTCAAAAGTGAAGGCTTTTATTTTATTATTGCTTAAGACTCACTCATCGAAGTCATCGTGTTTAGAGTAACCTAACTAATAATCATACTGGTGGCACTTATAGTGAACTTGTCCATGATGATTATTCTTGTGATATTTATTGGTCTTTGAGTGTTTTATTCAAAAACTCTCTTGGGGCTCAATTCTTTTAAACATGCTGATCACCTAAGCTTGTAGATCCCTTTAAATTGTCATAAGAGTATTACTAAAGGTTGAGTCTACGGTAAGTGTAAACTTAAGCGTAGGCACTAGATGATCATGACACAAATGCATTTAACATTGAGATCACAAATTGTTTTTGCAAGTAAAATCACAATGTAAAAATAAAGTTGTGTTTTTTTAACGTGGAGATTAATCAAGAACAACTTACACTAATAAAATTATAAGCATGTAATGCTAGATTCTTAACTATAAATGATTAATCAAATACGATGTCATAAGCAAAAACTCCTGATTATCAAAGAGAATAAGATACTAGCCATCGCTAATGAAAGAGGTTGATGAACAAAATTAACAATTAAAAAAGCCAAGTGAGATTTTTTTTATGATTTTTTTAGCACATAAGTAATATTAATGATAACTTTAAATGAAAGTTGCAAAACCAAAAGTAAACTTCAACAAATCACAAGAGAGAGTGATTCACTAACTAGACTAGTGGGAGGAAGATGGAATCTGTTGTAGCTGATGTGGTCGAGATGCTGATGTGGTATATTGGTAACGTGGCAGATACTAGTAGTCTTTGGCTGACAGGGTTTCAGTGGATGACATGGCGCTGGCTGGTGTGCTGAGCTGATATGGTGCTGATGTGGCAACAATTTATTGACGTGGAAGAGTTAATTAATTTTCCTTAAAAGTTGTTGTTTCCTTCTTCCCTGCCTCATGTAATCTATTGCCATTGCTGGCAGTAATGGCGCAAGAAACGTGGTTCTATAATTCTGTTTGGGATCGGCATTGCGATGAAAAGGGTTGTGGTGTCGTTGCTAGACTAGGGCCTGTTGATGCGTGGATACGTTGTTACTATTGAGGGTGACAACACTGTAAATGATGGCAGATGATGATCTGTTGCACAGCCTACCTTTGCTGCTGTGAACCACGAATCGATGTTGGCTATGATTGGTTTTATGGGCAGGTGCGTCTGGTGGTTTGTGATGCTAATTTGGTTGTTGAAGCCACATGTTTGCTGTGGTCTTGTGGAGGCGCCGCTGAAGACGATTTGGTGTGATCTGTCAATGGCGTAGGGAATGACCTTTTGTAGGAGAGTTTGTCGTTGTGGGTCTTGGTGTGATAGACGTTGATGTAGAGTTTCTGATCGGCGTTAACGCATGCTATAATCAGTGTTTTTCAAATTTGTTGAGTTTTTAATGATGAATAGTAAAAATTTTGATTTTGACGGCTGTTTACTGCGGAGAAGATGAACAGTGTTTCTGTCTTTTTTTTTAATCAGAACATTAGGTTTTTTTTTAACAATAAAATTTTTTTTTAGATCAAACCGGATATAGATTTTAGCATAAACATTGTGGATCGTTTAATTGTAAGAATAATTAAAAACCATGCTCTAATTTTGATGCGAGATAATAAAAAGCCATGCTCTAAGTTTTTAAAAAAGAAGCTAAGAAATGAAAGCAAAAAAAAAGAAGAATAGGGATTGGAGATATGCAAATTCAGTAATTTTTTCATTAATTATCAAAACTAATTAACATTTAGAAAAGTAGGGTATAAATACTAAAACCCTAACTAGAACAAGCGACTAGGCTTATGATCCACTAAATAAAATACTCAACAATAATTAAATCAAATCCAACAAATAAAGTCAAATTAATAAACCTTAACTAAAAGTTCATATAAATTAAATTCAAAAACATAAGTTAAAGCCTAATTTTTTAATTGTTTGGGTTATGTTTTATCGTCTATGATCATAAGTGTGCATAAATAATATTTTGGATTCGGTGTCCCGCCAATTTTTTATCCATAACCCATAGATTCAAATCTTATTAATTTCCTGGAATTACAGAAAAAAAATTTTTTGAATTTTGAATTATCTACTGCAATTGAATAAAAAATAATAATAACTTACAGCATTTAAATAAAAAATTTTAATTTAAAGAATAAATCTAGTGTGACTGGATTAATTCAGGAATTTAATCTTGTTTAAAGAAAAACAGTTGATGCATAATTGCGGATACAACAACGTTGCACGTAGCACTAACGAGCTCTATCCAATAATGTTTTAAAGTGCTTGATTGGGTAAAAGTGAAATCAGCGGGTCCTTTCCTACCGAGACTTGCCTCAGTGGCGGAACCAACGGTGGCGCCAGGGTACGAAGACTTGCCTCTCAGCGAGCAAATCATATTTTTAACCCTAAGAATAATATATATAAAAAATTGGGCTTCTATTAATTTTTTTTTTTAATTTAGCCCTCAAGCCCTGCTTGAAGAAGCAATACTATTTCTTTTATAAATTATATAGAATCCACCCGCCTAATAGACCGAATTGTCTTTATCCCAGAAATCCCAGCACCTTTTTAGATAAATCCCAGTTAAACAGCACATAGAACCAGAAAAGCAAGACAAATTAGCGAGCAAGCTGCAGCACTCAATAAAAAAACAAACCCATACCTAAAACACTAAAGCACGCCCAGTAAATTACACTGAGATATTTTCTCAAAGGACAGCCACTAATGGAACATGAACATCTTTCATCAATGGTGCTATCATAAATTTAAGCTGTCACTTTCTGGTTTCGATAGCATGTTTGCAGAAAGAACAAGAAAAGGAGCATTTAATCTCTAAATTAAGCGTATCCACAGTTCCAAGTTTTGTTTTTTTCTTCAATTCATTATATAGCGCAAGAAATAGAATTGCCGTCATACGATAACGACGGTGTCATTAGCCATGCAAGCTCATATCATGAACCAATATGAATCAATGATGCTACACCACTTCATGAGTTCAATGCCCCCACAAAAGTAGGCTTTACAGTTGGTGTCTAATGTTTCAAAACTAAAGAGGAACGGCCATAGATTCTGCAAACCAACCATCTTAAAATAACATAAAAGGTTGCTCGCAGTTTTAGCTCCAAATTAATATATTTTTTTATGTATTTTTAGATATTTTTTATATATTATTATTAAAAATAAATTTTATAAGATAAAAAATATTATTTTAATATATTTTTAAATAAAAAACAATTTGAAAAATAAGAACAATCTCTAACACTAACACTGTTCCAAACACTGGAAAATCCGATTTCATTTCATTAGGATATTTGCAACTACACAAGCTCGAATAGATTAGTATGGTTGACCCTAAACCCTATGTCATGGATTTAATGGATGCCATTTAGAGAGACAGCACATCATAAAAACGATGCCGTGGAGACTTGAGGACGCCCCGAGTTTCACATCTTTGAAGACGTTCTGGAAACGTGCCTAAAATTTTTCTGAGGGTAAATTGCGAAACTTGTCAAATGATTTGGCTTCCTGGGTTGCCACTGAACATTAAAAAAAAATTGAGGGCGTGAGTGATGGTATGCCGACCATTGCTGAATTATAAAACAGTGGATACTATAACTGAGCCATTGTGGTTGGAAGGTGCAATCGTGCTAGTTACGGGTTTTATATGAGAGGGTGGGTAGACAGAAAAATAACCAAAAAAAACCATAAATACATATTGAAAATCCGTTTACGATACTCCTAGTATTGTCAAAAAAATCTTGATAAAACAAATTTAAAAATACAAAAGAAAAATCATCAATTATGATTGTATATCAACCAAATATACTTTCGACTATTAACAAAAAAAAAAATTGAACACATAGAAAATCGTAAAGCACATATAATGACAGGAAAGTACTTTTCTTAACTACTCTTCGAGTAAAATATTACTTCTTCAATGTGCTAGGTTTGAAAAAACAGTGCGAAGTAGCCATGCATACCAGAACCTTTCTGATTCAGTTTTGAGGTCCAACAAATGGGAAAATATTCACGCTTAAAGCTGTGCAGGTCCAAAAACAGAGAGTTAGCCCGTTGTAGAATATATTTTCAGTTCACGATGGTACCCGCATCAGAGAAACATGAAATCTAAAGAGAGCAACATACTGATTGCATTGTCAGCTTCACAGTAATTTTTTCGAGAAAGATACGATAATGAACCTGTATTGGTGGATAATGGTTCAGCTCTATTGTGGAAGTCCATAGTTAGTGCAAACCTGTTGAAAGAAGATAAATATACATATCGTTTTTCATTTAACTAGCATTGAAGATAACCTAATCACTTGCACCTGAAGAACTTAAAATCAGGGTAATGTGTCTCACCAGCAGTGTGACAAAGGTATCCTTCCCATTCTGCTTGTTGCATGAAGTTGTCTAACGTAGCCTATGCTGCCCTGTGTGCCACGCCCTTTAATTCATCTTGAAGTTCTAGCATCCATTGGTTTTATGCAGACAAGAATACGAGTACCATGATCTTAAATAACAGAAAATCTCCCAGACACAGATGATACACCAGGAATTGGTAAGGAAATCCATGAAACATAGCCAGTGTCTGCAAGGTAGGAACTCCCACATGCTACAACATCATCTTACATGCCATTACTGGTTTCACATTCTTCACTTCTCTATATCTATCCTCTATACCATCTTTAATTCTCTTATCAAATTCCCCACCTAGTGAACTGCCCTCTCTCACTGACTTCAATGCATCACAAACCAACCTATATGTATACTCTCTCGGTATCAAACCCCCATCAACCAACTCAACAAGAAAATCTCGAGCCTCTAGCACCCTTCCTGCTTCACACAAAGCATGAATAATTGGAGTATATGAACTCGTAGTTGCCAAACCATGATTCATCTTCTGCATCCTCCTTAACATCTCAACAGCCTTATCAATCTCATTCACCACGCTAAAATACCTGATGAAAGAGTTATAAGTAACTCGGTTCGGCACACAGCCCCTTTTATTCATATCCTCAAAAAGCTCAAGAGCCCTCTCAATCCTATTTGTCTTACAACATCCATTTATCAAACAATTATAGGTAACAACATCAGGAGCAAAACCTTTAAACAACATGATCCTAAACAAATGATTGGCCTCCCATATCCTCCGCCGTATCGCCTTTCTACATCCAGTTTGCAAGCCATACCTACAACAAGAACTAATCAATATAGTATAAGTATAAATATCTGGCGGGCATCTAAATCCCGGTAACTCCATTTGTTCCAACAAAAATCTTGCCCTTTTAAAATTCCCAACTCTACAAAGCGCATAAATAAGGGTATTATACGCATAAACATCCGGTTTTAAATGATATTGCTTCATTCTATAAAACAACGCCAATGCTTGATGAACCAAACCTTCCTCACCCAGGACTTTTATCAAACAGGTAACGGTACTGACGCTAACAAGGCCTAAACAATTCCCATGCTCTCTTTGAGCCATTTCTTTGAGAAACTGCCATAATTCATCCAATTTACTCCCTCTTGCCAACACAACGGCCATCTCTCTACATGTAATCTCAGTGTGTTTGAAACTAAAGTGATTTTCAAGCCAATAAAAGAACTCAACTGCTTTGTTAACACCTAAAGCGACCCTTTTGGGATCTCTATAAGCAGCTGGGCCGAGAATGAGAACATTGTGGCGTGATTTATGGGTTTCTTCTTTGAGGTTACGTTGTTTTAATGGAGAGCGATGGCGGGCTGTGTTTTGGCGGCCAATGGAACTTGGAGAAAGAAAGAAGAATCTGGGTATTGATCGGAGAATATCAGAGACTGAATCCACGGTTAGTAAATTTGGGTTTGTTGTTGATGATGCGAGTTTGGTGTCGAATGGACGGTTTTGTATCATTATGGAGAGGACTTGGTTTATTACAAGACAAGTTTGGTTTCGGTTTGTTAGAGGTTTTGATGGATTCATGTTTTAAGGGAAAATAGAAAAGACAAACCAGATGTATCAGCTCAGCTAAAATGAAATAAATCCACTTGAAATGAGATCAGAGGTGAAGCTAGCTCAAATTCTTTCTTGTGTATTTCTTGGCTCTGCCTGAAGAAGAGAACTGGAGCTCTGTTTGGGCTTAGTTCTAGAGGCGCAAGACTATTTATTACTGCCTGCTAGGCTCGTTTGGGATGGATTGCTGCCTGTTGATTGATTTGGGCTTTGTAAGGCCTAATAAGCCGGTCTTGGCTCATGCTACTATGGATTAATATGTTATACTTAACAGTGATTATTTTTTAAGATATATTTTTTTTATAAATATATTAAAATTATTGTTTTAGAAAAAATTTATTTTAATATCAACATATCAAAATAAAATTAAAAAATTAATTTAAAATAAAAATAAAATAAAATTCAATTTTTTAAAAAACTTTTGAAATTCAAAAATAAACAATAATTACTGTCATGGTCACTACCAAAGGTGTCTATTTTCTCTGATGTGGAAATTCCCCATTTCCAATCTCTTCTTGTATTAAAGAGTGGATTTTTTTACTACATAAAAACAAAATTATTTATCACTTGAAATCAATATTTCAGAGATCCTGCTATCATCTGTATCAATAAAAACAGAGACACTATTGAAGATTATAATAGGTAGATTCCTTCCGATTGTGCTCCTCCGATGCTTGATAGGTCTTTGTTGCAGCCAATATTGACATCTGATATTTATTCAACACACAGATTGTACATCCTGAATGATAAAAAAATATTAATAAAATGAGCCTTGGTGGGAAGAAGTAGACTTTTACGAAGACAGAGACAGAATTGTTCTAATTTGTCTATATGATTAAGCAGAGGCATGCAGGGGTTGGGTTATATGTAATTGGAAGGAAATGCCCGGAGAATGAGGCATCAAATTATAAATCATGGCCTCATGAATATTGACCACAACAACAACTGGAAAGGAAAAAGGTTCACTTGATAGAAACATTTTTCTTCATTGAAACTTCCCTTGTCTATAACATAACTGGGCAATGGCGTTTACACAGCGACATTTACCATAGCCTCTGGAAAAATTATTTTCAATATCTTCACATCTTCTACCTTATCTATATGGAAAACAACACTCCGAAAGTACTCCATGCAAGTAATACTCTTTCCTATAACAATAACTATCCACAGGTCATCTTGGGCTGTTGATCCAACAAAGTGGCAACACAAGCGGCATAGTGCTTTTCCATGACGGCAGAGCAATCAAAGTATTCAAAGCTGACCAACTTGGTAAACATTCCAAAGCAACAATAGATGCATTCCTTCAAAGAACCTCTGAAAGAGCAGTGTATGTACAGCAGGGTTCTTCAAAAAAGTCCAAAACCAGCCCACTCGGCGTCACTCACAGGTCGAGGTGATGACTGATATGATGAAAATGAGGACGCCGGTGAGTCACGGAATGACGAAAGTGACTTCCTGCTTGAAATGGACCACCGAGAGAGCATGTCAAGGTCAGAGGTATAATCACGTTCTGATCCAGGTTTAGCTATGCTGAAGGTGGTCCTCCTCTTGCTTTGTTTTCGCCTTAATAGAGGTGATGGGAAACACCCAGCTGAAACACATTCAGGTTGGACATGGACAGGTTGGTCGAACCTCCAACGCTCAGACAAGCTACGCGGAACAGAGCGAAATGATCGGGCACAGGGCTGAGATGGAGGGAGGAAAATGGATCCAGCTGGTGGAGGCTTAAGCTTTTGCTTTTGTACTAGAGGAGTTGTAGATGGACTCAGATGACTGAAAGGTGGTGATGTTGATGGCAATGTCGGGGGTGATAGTTCTTTCTTTTGCTGACCATGACTGAAAGGTGGTGATGGCGATGGCAATGTCGGGGGTTTCTTTTGCTGTTTTTGCTGTAATTGTTGTTGTTGGATCTTTGGGACACCAGGTCGGATCTCCCATTTAAACGGAACAGCTCCAGGTTTCTTGAAAGAATCGTCTGCTTCTATTGCCATCTCGACTGGAAAGTAACTAGCCACTGAGAGCAAACTTAAAGAAGGCAACCACAGAAACAAAAATGACACAAATCTCTCTTCCTTAATTCGTTCCTTCTGAGATTGTTGATATATATAGGGGTGTGTGGCAGGTTTAAGGTTTGGTCTCGGCGGGATCAAAGGCATGGAGTGGGGTAGCTGAGCCAGTCTAGAGGTTAATGGGTCCACGCATGTAGTTGACTGGCATATCAGAAAACACAAATTTCAAGTAATCAATAAGAGAGACAAAACTAGCGCACCAAAATTCAAACTTCGGAAATTAAGATGATATGACAAATTGCCAACCAGTCCTTGAGAAAATACCATCTCAAGTAAATGACTTCCACGTGCATGATATAGGGGTATAGACTATGGACTATACAAGGCCACCTTTTTTAATACATAAAATTGATTTCGACACCTTTAGCTTTTGTTGTGCTGGCTATCCTAGCATGAGATCATGAGCATTTCAGCAGATTTCCTAGTAAATCTTAAACGAAAGTGGTCTAGGTCCACATCAAAAGAGGCTCGCAGGACAAAACATGGCGGCTTTCACTATGGCAGATTAACTACTATAACCACAAGGAACTTTTTAGAAAATCAGTGCATTTATTAAAAATATATATACATAAAATGGAACTAGCACAGGGGAAAATAGATTTTGAAAAATATCATAGTTAGGTAAAAACTGCAGTTTTTAAGTTTGATATTTTAAAATATTATACTTGAATAGAGCAGTATTTTAATTTCAAGGAAAAAAAACTCTAAAGTTATATTGAAGCTCTAATTACGATATCTTTAACATCATTGAAAATACTCAAGAAGATAAATCCGTATGGTGGCTGGCTCACATTGCCATGCACCACTTAAGCAGCGAGTGGACTCATCTTTGAATGGCGTGTATGGCTCACGCCAATCATCATTAGTAGCTTTTTTTATGTTCACGCATTCATCAAGCTCTTTCCAATTGTAACACAGATATTTTTATATGTTCATGTATTCGTCAAGCTCTTTCCAATTGTAACACAGATATAGTGATCAGGATTTTAATCTTTTTTTTCTTCTCTCGTCTGAAATTAAAATAGTGCAGTATTTTAAAATATCACACTTAAAATATAAGGTTTTATCAAATTATGCTATTTTTCAAAATCTTTTTTAACCTATAATAGATTGCCAAAACTTTTTTTAAAACTACGCTAGAAAGGAAAAACACCCTAGTAGAAGCTGAAGCTGGATTGTATTTGGGCTTAAGTAATAACTCTAATGATCTTGTGCAGATTTCAGAATTTCAAATATTTACAAAGTGATCACGCATCATATGATGCCTCTAGCTGTCTGGCAGCCCGACAGGCCTGCAACGTTAGAATTACCCCTTGTAAGTTGTGCTTTCAAATATTTGGACAAATATAATCATATCAACTTCAAATTTATGGGGGGCAGCAAGGATAACCAATTACAAAGCCATTTTGTCCCAGCTTTCAGCAGTATTTCCACTAACAATTCCTAAACCAAATGATCATAGGCATGTCATTGATAGGATTTCAATGCCTTCATGTGATTGAAATTTTGGAAAGAAAATATGCATGTAAAATAGAAAGCAAATTCTCAACCGCTAGTTTCAATTTTTTAATCAATTAGGATTCAAAGACATGAAAGTAGGCTAAGGAGTCACTGATCCCACTATGAGGAAGAAAATGATAGAAAAGTGCATGCATAAAAAGTTCGGCAAGTGACTCTTTTGTGAAGAAGTTAAAGAGTTTCCAAAAGTGGAGCATCATATTATACATGATCTCACCTTGTGCTACATCTCAACCCGAGCTCGAATGCTACCTATCTTAAGAACTTTCTTGTGGCATGTTACAAAGAGCTCGCATTGTGTTACTAGCCACATCCAGCAGCTGCAAATACTCATCAGCAACATCAATGAGACACTGCAAATTCATAAAAGCATAAAATATAAAAATTCAGTTCAACAGGCGCCACTAACTATGATACTGTGCACCTAAAAAATATTATACCCATAAAATGAGATAAAAATGGAAACAGTAATACTTGGAGAGAATTGATGAGTTGGCATTATGGGTAACCAAGAAGCTTCTCATGAAAAAAAAGGTACAAAGAATTAAATCCAGCAGTTTCGAAAAACTAACTTCAGTCATGTTTTCTCATGCATCATTAACAATGGTGGTGATGGTGAGGGAGAGGATGTGTCAGTAAGGTCAATTATTCAAATAGATAGGCTAAAGAGAGAGGGCCCCTCTTAGACAGCTCCCCATCTCTTATAAAGATTTTTATATAGGAAAAAAAAAGGAGCAACTTAACATTTTCTGAGCTATGATTAGCTCTCGGCAGCAATACTGAACCACCCAAGTTATCAACTGGTAAGGCAAATACCATTATTTTATTTTATTTTCACCAGATAAACTAATAATACCAAAGTCAAAGACGAAACTAGGCAAGAAAAATGAGCTTCAGAAATAGTAACCTTATCAGCTGTAGCCAAACTCTTGCACATGCAAGCCTTTCGTTCATCTGATGCATCATCTGTTTCGACCACCAAATCAAATAACTGGAAGAAATCTCATATCAGCAGCATATTTATCTGGTAATAGGCAATGGCAATGAAAATTGGCCAAGGATAGAATAAAGGGAACCTGAGCAAGGATCTGAGATACTGGATATCCTTCTGCAATTATATTATTGACTTCCTTGTTCGCCAAATCAAAGTCACCACTTTTGCATGCTGCATAAAGTGCCTCAGTAACCTCTTGCAGAATGGCCTTAAAAACCACAACACCATGAAAATCAGGGCACAAAGGGATTACTATGCATAACAAGAAGATATATTGCCAAAAAAAATGGCCCTAAAAGTTCATAATATAACCTACCCCAGATACACTAACAAGGTCTTTGGATGAAATTGACGATCCAAATGGGCAAGCAGCTCCCTGCAATAAATAAATGCTGAAGTTCAACTTCAACTGAGGAATGGGAAACTTGAACAGAAGAAAAGGCATGGACTAATGACTGAGCTTTGTTTATTTGTCAACATTGAAGTTTCAAATAAATGATCAAAACTGTTGGGAAAACACAATGGCGATAAAAGTAGGGTTAATAATGTTTCATGTCTTATGCTAAGGATCTCTCACCAATTTGTTCTCGTACACATTCAATTCATAAAAGATCAAATGCAAAATTCCACATTTGGATCCTTGACTAGGATGATCATTCAAATATCACACACCAAAGGCTTAATAACAGTACCAGATTTTTATTGAAGCACTCCAGGGAAGGGCTTGGCTGAAAAGGTCAATCAAGAGTCTCATCTTCAATATTGTTACATCAGAAACTCCAACACATGGTATATTTCTTTTTCAAACTGGCTGATGTTTCTGATCCTGATATATCATAATTTGGCCTAATCCTCAAAAGCTTGAGACTTTCAGATTATGTTTGCACAACAAAACAATCCAATCTAGTGAAACTAGTTTTCATGATAATGAAGGTCAACAAAACTGTCAATCATTTGAATCATGCTCTGTTCTATCTCATGAAATTTAAAATGCCTTAAGAAATTGACACTTTAACATGATCAGTCTCAGGAAGTGGTGAGGATTCAAGGATACCCTGCTTTATGCCTTTTGGGACAAGGAGAAATGAAAAATGACTACTAAGAATTGGTGGTTTTGTTTGTACAGGTAGTAACACCATGACTCTTGGTTAGCTAAATCCATGAGAAAAACACCAAAATAATGGGGTTTATAATATAAGCATCATGGTCATGAAATGAAGGGGAGGGGGGGGGGGGGGGGGGTCC